CAATCAAGACCCCATAGACACCCCCAGGTCCCCATCAGCGCCCCCTGGTGCCACCAGCTGCCCACCATCCCCCCGCCACCCCCCAGCTCCCCATGGGGGCACCAACCACATCCCCACCCACCACCACTCGATGCCACCACATCCCCGCTCCCCAAGCAGCACGCCGTCCCCCAGGGTAGGTGACATCCCCCCCCCCCCCCCCAGGGCCACCACATTCCCACGACACCGCCCGCCCTCCCCAGGCCTTGGGGACACCTCGGGGAGGCGACCTCCCCACGGCAGCCCCGCTCCCACGGCCGCCGCCTGGGGACGATTCCCAGACGGGGACCCCGACGCGCGTCACCTCCGGCTGTGGGTCCTGGCTTGGGGCCCGACGCGGCCCCGAGGGACGACCACGATTTAATTAAGGGCTGATTAAGAAAGCAGCGGTGGCAGCTTCCTGCCGGCTCCTCCGGCCTCCCGCTCCCTGGCAGCTCTCGGCCTCGTTAGCGCTAATGAGAGCTGGCAGCGGGCGCACGGCCCGGCCCGAGGCGGCACCCGGGGGGCTGCAGTGCGCAGTTGTGCACGGGCGTGCAAGGCTGCAAGTGGCTCCGCAGGGCTGCATGCGGCCGCGTGAAGCCGTGCAAGGTTGCAGGTGCTCGTGCAAGGCCGCAGCAGGCTGCCGTGCCCGTGCTTGCACGAGGTTGCACGCGCTCGTGCGAAGGCTTCAAGTCCAGCAGGAGGGATTTGTGCTGCAGCAACGCAAGGGAGGACGGAGCTGCGAGCCTGCATGGATTGTCACCGGCTGTGCCACCGTCGGGGACAGCATGAGGGGAGCACGAGGACGCGGCCAGCACCGCTGTGGGGACCCAGCGTCACAACTCCCTCAGCGCCGCCCCCCCCCCCCGGTCCCACACTCCCCCTCCTTCCCACCCCCCATCCCGTCCATCTCACCCTGTTCTTAATGAGGTTTGGAGCCTCGTTAGCGTCCTCCCCCGGCCCAGCTTTGGGAGGGCACGCGTCCCCCCTGCGTGCACACGCGTGTGAGCACAGAGCAGAGCGCTGCCAGCCACCCCCCTGCGCTCACACATGTGTGCACCGACGGCCGCACGCGTGAGCCCACGAGAAAGCACACGCAAACACACGTGTGTGCGAGCACGCGTACACGCGGGAACACACGTGCAGCTGCGGCTGTTTGCAGGTGCGCACGTGCAAGCAAGTGTGAGTCACTGCAAGCGTGCAATGCACGCGTACGGCCCTGCGGTGGGGGCCACCGTGTCCCCATGAGGTGACAGCGATGGCGGTGAGAGAGCGGGGGGGGGGGGGGGGTGGCAGGGAGGGGGGCTGCCAGACGTCACGCTCACGGCTTTCAAGCTGGAGAGCTGATGGGGAATGTGACCTTGGGGACGGCAGGCAGCGCCTTCCCTGCTCGGCCACGCAGCCCTGGGGACGCTGATCTGTGGGGACACCCCCCCCCCCCCCCCCCATGCTTGGGGACACCGATCCATAGGGGCACCCCTGCCTTGGGGACATCTCCCTTTGGGGACACGCACACTCATTATGGCACGGCCATGCGGGACCCCCCCCCTGTCAGCAGCCTTTGTGGACGAAGCTGAGCCCCACGCAGAGCACATGAAGGCCACCTCCGTGTGACACGGCCACCAGCGCTGTCACACAGCCACAACCTGGACCCACAGCCCACCAAGGGGGGGGGACACAAACCACTGAGGTGACACCACTGTCCCCAGGGCCACCCCAGCGCTGCGGGCCGATGTCACCAACACTGCACCTCACGGGCACCCTGACACCCGCGTGTCCCCACCACCCACAAGGGGAGAGCAGCACCGGGATGGGGGGGGGACGGCAGAGATGGGAAGGGGGGGGTGAAAGAGGGGAGGAGACAATTTGGGGAGGGGGCGGCGGTGGCACGGCCCACACATTTGCACACCTGAGCGCACGCGCACCAAGGCACCCACGCATCACCAAGGGTGCACAGAGCACACAGGTGCGCTCCCCCCCCGGCCTGCTTGCTGCTTGCACACGCAGCCGTTTGCACATGCAGCCGTTTGCACACGCAGCTGTTTGCACATGCAGACATTTGCACACGCAGCCATTCACACACTCAGCCACTTGCACACGCAGCCATTTGCATACGCAGCCACTTGCACACTCAGCCACTTACACACTCAGCCATTCGCACACACAGCCATTCACACACGCAGCCATTCGCACACACAGCCACTTGCACACACAGCCGTTTGCACATGCAACCATTCACACACGCAGCCATTTGCACACGCAGCCATTCACACATGCAACCATTCACACACACATCCACTTGCACACTCAGCCATTTGCACACTCAGCCATTCACACACTCAGCCATTTGCACACGCAGCCATTTGCACACACAGCCATTCGCACACACAGCCATTCACACACGCAGCCACTTGCACACACATCCACTTGCACATGCAGCCATTTGCACACGCAGCCATTCACACACACATCCACTTGCACA